AATATACCAACTTGCATTTCACCACCCACAATGCAGGTGCCGGCAGCTCCCTCTTTTTCGCGACCTACATCATCGGCCTCGTCCCCTTCGGCCTTCTCGCGCCCCACATCGGCGCGCGCCGCCTGCTGGCCGCGCTGCTCGTCTCCTGGGGCGTCGTTGCGACGTGCATGGCGGCCGTCAAGGACGCGGGCGGCTTCTTCGCGCTGAGGCTGCTGCTGGGCGCGTGCGAGTCTGGCTCCATGCCGGCGATGTGGTCGCACCTCATGATTTTCTTCCCCAAGAGCAGGTGCGGCTCCGCGCACACAGTCCACGCATCGACCCCGCTTGACGATCACGAATCAATAAGGATTGCAGACACCTGGGTTCCTCGGCCGCCTGCATGGCACGGGGCGCGGCCCATGGAGCGCCCCCGCGGTGGTGGTGATGGCGGCGGACAGGCTAGCAATCAGCCGCCGTCCAGTGCCGTGCGGCGGCGGCGGGTTGGCGACTCGCCCGCCACCGCCCCAGGCCCGCATTTACGCATGCTGAGCGGCCTCCCTGCCCGGCCTCGCCGTTGTTGCCCCAGCCGCTGCCCCTGCTTCGCCCATCCACGGCTCCCCCCAGCGCTGCCCCTTGCCCCTTCCCTGCCCCCCAACCGACCAGGCTTCCCAAGCCTTTCGCATACCTCTTCGTCGGCACGGCGCTCGCCGGCGTCGTCGGTGCGCCGCTTGCAACGGGCCTGCTCGCCCTCGACGGCAAGGGCGGCCTCCACGGCTACCAATGGCTGTTCATTCTCGAGGGTGCCCCTGCGGTGCTACTGGGCGCCGCCGTCTTCTTCTTGCTGCCTGACACGCCGTCCGAGGTAAAGGGGCTCAAGGCGTCCGAGGTTGCGGCGCTGGAGGCCGACCTGGCGGCCGAGGCGAGGGCACAGGAGGAGCGGTTGGCGACGCCCGCAAAGACGCTGATCTGGCAGGTCGTCCGGGGCAAGGTGCGACGCCAGGCTTCAGCCCTTTGGCTGCCACCCCCTCTGCCGTACCGTGTGCTCGTCATGCTTTGACGCACCGGGTGGATGCAGTTTCGCCCAGCTGCCATGTCCGACCTGCATTCGTCCGCGGCACCCCCTGGCTTGCGCTCGGCCCCGCCCCTAGCTCTCCTACTGTCCGACCATCGCTCCCTGCCTCCTGCTCCCACTTGCGCTCCTCCCAATCGACACGCGCACTGCAGTACTTCCCACTGCTCGCTGTCACAAGCTTCATAGCAGGTGCGCGCACCGTTCGTGCCAGAGCATGCAGTACCATCACCCGCGTCTCACCCGCGTCTCACCCGCGTCTCACCCGCGTCCTTGCCGTCGTGGTCCGTTTCCAAATCGCCTCAGCAAGCCCGCCGCCCAGCTTGAAACCTTGTTCACACGTCCCTGACCGCCGCCCCTGTATCCCAACATCCCTTGAGGCCTTGAGACTGCCGCCATCCTCCCCCCCCCCCCCCCCC